CCACCACTGAGCCCGCCAGCTTTAAGCTATTGCTTCTATTCCAGCTGCAGCCTGGTGGTCAGCCCGGGGAGGAAAGGGACGCCCTGCTCCCGCCTGCACTCCGAGAGCCAGGGCTTTCATTTCCAAGCAGGCTTTGAGCGAAGAGAGCCCGAGACCCAGAGGCAAAGCCATGGAGCCCCGGTGAGCACAGCACTGGCCGCTCAGAGGAAGGACTCGCCCCGTCGCACAAAAGCGGCAAAAATCTATTTACCTTTTCTGCTTTTCTCTGCGAGAGGGAAGGAGCGTCACTCGCCTGGCTTCGGGCAGCCGCGGCGCGGAACGCAAACCCAAAGGGAAGCTCTGGGAGAAGGGTGTGTGAAAATGGCCCCGTGTCCCGTGGCCAGGAGCCCTCCCCTACACACCGTACGGGCCAAACCTGCCTTGAAAAGCTTTAGGTCTCCCCCCAGGCTGATGGCAAAGACACCTTAATGACAACGAAGGGAACAATTCCAGTCGCGTTTCCATCCCCGCCCCTATGACCTCCCTGTAGGGAACTGGGAAGCTGGAAGAGATGAAACACCAGCAGCACCTCACCATGCAGACAGGGGAGGCATTAAAAAAAAATTACAACACATCTGAACACTGCTTAAGAGTCACCTGAAAATGCATCTTAACCAGCAGCCTGCAAGTATGGGGACCAGGTTTTGACATACAGACCAAAATATCAAGACTGGAAAACATGCATGTTTTTCCTCTCTCACCACCCAGCCCTACTTTTGATACCAGACAAAATATTCCCTTTCAAATTCCTTGCTGCAAAGGCAAGGAAGCGCTGGCTGAAAAAAGCAGCAGTCAGGCAAAACTAAAAGCACCTCCGCAAGAAGCACTTCGAGGAATTTGTTTTCCCAAGGATCCTCCCCCCCATCAGCAGCTCTCGCCGTTCCCCAGCACCGAAAGCCCTTTCAACACTAGATAAGGGGCCCCAGCAGTAACGCTGGCAAAACATCCACAAGGCAAAATGTCAAGGTATTTCACAGCCCGCAGGGAAGATGGGAAAACAGCAATTTTGAACGTCATTAAGAGCGTCCTGATAACTTAAACCACAAGGAATGAGCTAAATCCACTAGATTGAGAGCTGACCTCTCTGGGCAGCTCCTTTGGAGCTCCACAGCAGCTGTCTAGGCTCCTACAAGCTTATCAAGCCTCTTCTCTGCTCTCCAGGCTGGCTCCCCGCACAGTGCCCTCCCAGTCCCGAGAGCTTGTTCTCTTTTTTTTGGGATGCTGAAACAAGCACTGATAGGCCAGTGCCAAAAGTTGTCCCTCTGGCACAGTGGGGTGTTTCTCCGTTGGAGAACATTGGGCAAGCAGTAGTTTCTCAAGAGCTTGTAAGCCCACGGACCGAGTACCCCAGAAGAATTAGGAGGGTCATCTCCAGCAGCACCCTTTCCTATTTGCCCCTTCCAGTGGAAAAAAGAAAGTCACACAAACACTAAAAGCCAGTGGAAGGAAAAAAACCAACCAATCCTAGAAACACAATTCTCCTGGGAAAGAAAGAAAATCAACGTACAAGACCAGTGTTAGTACCATGGCTTGAAGTATTCCTGCTAGTGATGGGGTCAGCAGAAGAATCCTCCCTGTAACCTACCAACCTAGAAGCACTCGAATCTCCAAGAGACAGCATAGTCTCCCTCCCAGCCCACGTGCCTAGCATCCACCCCAGGCTAGGCCATCTCCAATGATCCACAGCGGGCTGCTGGACCATGCTAAGCACGAGCACCTTTGATGCAGACAAACCTGGCTCGTCTGTGCTCAGAAAATTAACACTGCAGTATCCATCCCTCATTAAAAAAGGGCCTTTTTCCACATTGAAATGCTACCTCTAAAACCCTATCATGAAGCAATCTCACCAGCTGCTCTGCTGATAACAACGCACTTCACATGTTTGTTCCATTGGCTTTTCCCTAAAGATACTCTCAGCTCAACTATCGGCATTGGGGACTTCAGAGAGTTCCTGCAGCCACCGCATCGATGAAGCATACATGTCCTACCGACCTTCAGCCAGACCTACCCGCAAGTCATTAACCACTTCTGAAATCCCCATCCATTACCAAGCTCCACAACAGGAACAGTGACAATGAGATGTGCAAGTAGTTTTGCTGGCAGGTTTCTTCAACTTCAAGACAGAAGTTTTTTTTTTTTTAAGCCATACAGAGGTTTGTCAGAAAGTTAAAAAAAAAGGCAAAGAGCCACAAATATGTATTTTTTAGTCAGCCTTTAATTTTTTTTTGTCTGTGATTACTGCAATAAAGTGCACCTAATTTCACATGAAATGAGATAACCTGGCTCTTAATACAGCCAACATAATATCAAAAGATAAACCTCAGTGCAAAATGCTTATCTGAAGACAACCAAAGCAGTTAAGACATTTACTGTGCAAACAGCCTTTCCAAATGCATGTAACTTCTGGCTGGGGGCCAGTAAATGAGTCAGCGAAACAGCAGCAGCAGGTTTGCTACTTCATTTCCAGGAGTCCTGAAGCAGTGCTCAGCAGTCCCTTGTAAAGACTCTACAGCGATGCTTTGGTATCATCTCTGTAAGGACACTGATGAGCTCCAATTCAACCCACGTCTAGACTTAAGCAACTGGGGAATTACTACTCAGCTACAAAACAGATGGAAGAAGAGTCCAGACAAAGCGGGAGGGGGAGAGAGAGGGGGAAAATGCCAGAATGTATACACAGGCATTAAGCATGAAAACACAGGACTGGCTGAGCTAAGATTTATTTCATGACCTTCTCCATTTATAGTAAGCTAATCAGCTGTGAACCCAAGAACTGCAACGTCTGCCATAAGAGCAGAAGAGGACCTGCAGACATCTTTTTTTTGTGCGAAACAGAGCTGAGGCATGCCCATTTTGTGTAGGGACATTTAATTAGAAAAGCATGACTGGCTTTATTTTTTCATTGTTCTATTAAATAAAAGTAAGTATCAAAGTGGTTATTTCATCTGGAAAAAAAAGCCAGCAGTTTCAATGTGCTCCGAACTGCAGTACAAAAGCTGTTCATCTAAACCCCTCCCCTTTCCTTCTCCAAAATATACAGGACAGCAACTTTAACTTTACATGGTAAGAAAAATATATACACATTACATACAGTAAACATTCTGCAATTTTTTTTAAACTTTATACAACAGTAGTGAGAAAAAATACAAACATTAATAAAATTACATACAAGATCTTCAACAGAGTAAGCAACTGCTACCAGAGGGAAGGTTGATAGACTATCAAAGACAGGCAGAGCAAAGGATGGTGTTGCCACACCTATGTAACACCACATACTTTTTTTTTTAGCCTAAAGCAGTTCTATTGCCAAAGATACCCTTTGAGGTAGATTCTTCCAATTCTTAAATAACATGTTGAGATTAAAAAAAAAGGGAATACACCACCCCCGCCCCCATCCCCAATCCTCAAACAATGCCACAAGTGTAACTTTTGTCTGAACAAAGATTAGCTGATTATCCTATGAAGGGCACAGAGATGCTGCGGTCCTAGGCTAACTCTTTAACACTCGAAGTGAAAGACAAAAACATTTAGTATGAATTTGCAAGTAAAATACCTTCCCTATAAGACATGTGTTCACTCTATAGCAGTTCCTCTATATGTAATATACATACTTAAATTTGAAGATTGGTTTTGGGGTTTTTTTTGAGCCTTATTTTACATTCTTACTTGGAAAGTTGTAGGGAATTTATCATACAAGACAAGACAGGGTAACCTACAAAAGTTAAAGGAAACAGTATTGTAAAACGCACATGTTGATATTATTAAAAATCTCACTTAAGGGAGTCCCAGTTGGTGCTTCTACCAAAAACCTTAACTTTCTCATCACATATACAGCAACGCAACATTTGAATGAGGGCATTTGCACAGAGAGCACAGAAGGAGATCTCATCTTCCTTTGATTGTTTCACAAACAGCTCTTGGAGCTTTGCGCACATACTGCGTGTGCGACAAGACTTCACACACAGGAATTCAGACCTCACACGGCCTTCACAGTTTTTACGTATGTGGCCAAGTGCTCATCTCCTCAAATCTCCACTGAGTTGGTATTTTAGGAATAGTATTCCCTCCATTTAGAGAAAGTGCTGAAGCCAGGTAACAGTTTTTTAAAGAGCAGTACAACAATACTACTGGTGTAACAAGATTTGATTTATAACTTGGTCTTATAGAAAACATGTGCAGTCACATTCACTGCATAAATAAATTAATGCTTTAAGATGAGGAAGTTAAGTTAAAATGAGTACATCACTAGTAAAAAATACCATTTTGTTATTTGATAACACACAACCACAGTGCGAAGAAGCATCCACTTAACCTGTTGGGCACAAGCCCTCTTACGCTCTGTTCCACCCTCAAGTGAACGTGAGAACAGCCACCTGTTCACATGCAGCTGCTGTATTTTGTATTTTTTAGAGACACTGGATGGTCATACCAATTCTGCTTTGCAGATTAACATGTGCAGGCAATTCTGTTACTCAGCCCAGTTCTGCACCACTCCTCACCTGCTCACAACAGGGGAGGTCTAACACTGTTTCTGAACTCACGTTCCATGTCACAGGGCAGTTCTTTCCCAGCCATCCTAAAACAAGGCTTGCAGGTGTGCGCTGGCAACAAAACTAATACATATGGTTGTCAAATGTCTTGTGATTAACAATGGAAATGAGAAAACTTCCCTCCACTTTCACTATGATGAAGTATTACTAGCCAATTCAGACAGGGCTATAGAAATAGCTGGTTTTTTTTTTTCACTTTACCCACTTCAATTTTTCAGAAGTAGTGTATTTGTAGCAAAAGCAATGTTAATCAAATTAGATCCTTGTGTTTCTAGTATTTGCCTGAATCAAGCTCAGGTTCTAATTCAGGTGACTGATTTCTTCTGTTCCAACCAAGGTGAAGCTCCATTCATTCTACACCTTCCTTGGTTTCAGAGTTTTTCTGTTATTTCCCCTGAACTAGGCAAGATTTCATGAATCTGGCTCCCAGAAGTCATGCAGTTTTCCCTAAGGAGTAAAAAACACAGTAGTAAAGAGGTCAGAAAACCAATGATAGAAGTAGAGTAGGCAAGTGTTTAGTTTGAGATCACCACAATGTGTTTCAAGTCCCTAGAATTTTATTCGGAAACACATGCCAGTTTCCCCACATGTGAATCAACCCCAAATATCTCTGAAAAAACAGCTTGGCATCATTATCAACTTTCATCAATTGCTAAGTAGCCAAGCAGCTTATGCAGCCATGTGTTACCGAATTCCGTTCCCCCTCTGTAACATGAAATGTCACACACGCTACAAATTTTGTCTTTTTTGCACATTGCTGGGACTGATTAATAGTCTTTACAGACAAATGGTTGATTACACAATTCTTAACTGAAATCAATACTAAGCATGTATGTATAATTGAAATTTTATGTGGGTGATACACTACATTACTGGAAAGCTAAGCTTTTCCAAGACAGGTAGCTTTATATTCCAAGACAGGATTCAAACAGTTGGTCTGATCACATTACAAAAGAAACCTTAGAACCCTAGACCGGAAGAAACAGCTCTGAACTCTGGATATCAACAGAAATCATCCACCTATTCTACCAAGGCCATCTAGGTATGATGAAGGCAAATATTAATGAGAGACTAATCATGACATTATTTGCTACTGCACACTTTTATAGAGCATGAAAGGCTTTTCCTAATCATTGCATGAGATTCAACACATTCAAAGGAGGAGGAGTTATCAAGAGCCGTTAAAAATACGTGAATAGAGCCTTGGACTTGAGTAGTCTTGAAGTCACACGCTGCCAGACTAGAGCAGGAAGTGCATCACTGCATTC